TTCTGTCCTGAGACATCTCGTCGTCTCAACTACACAGGAGGCAGGAATCAGGAACCCCTGGGGCAAGCCCTCTGCTGAGCTCAAAACGCCAAGGTGAAAGCGAGCAGACCTCTGTCCTGCGATATCTCAAAGTCACCTCAGCTATACAGGAGGCGGGATTCAAGAACTCCTGGGTCACGCCCGCTGCTGAGCTCAACGCCAAGGTGAGTGCGAGAGCAGACTTCTGAGTTGACTCAACTGTCACCTCAGCTACTCCTGTGTGAGCGGGAGGCAGGGTTCAGGAACTCCTGGGTCATGCCCGCTGCTGAGCTCAACGCCAAGGCGAGTGCGAGGAGGAGAGTGTAGAGGAGGGGAGAGGGTGGAAGGGTATGGGAGAGAGGGGGAGGGGGGTGTAGAGGAGCGAAGTGGGGAGGAGGGATGTGAAGGGAGACACAATGGAGAAGCTCCCCTCCTATCCGTGTACCCTTTTAGATTTTTTCAAAACGGCCGTCACCCTCGAATGCGTGTGTGTTTGTGCGCGTTTTTTCTTTCTTTCCATACTCTTTACAATCATCATCTCCACTTATCTACTCACTCGACCCAAACATTCCCCTTGTCCCCCATGTTCTTGCACCAACCCCCCACACCCCCACTCTCTCTTGCTACCTCTCTCTGTGCTTCCCCTCCCAGGAGGGCTGGTCACCTGCGCGGCCGGATGACGGACTGCTGGAGGTGATAGGGTTGCGGGGCGGCTGGCACACCATGGCTGTCCTGGGCAAGCTGGCCAGAGGCACCCGCATCGCACAGGTGCGTGTGCGTGCGTGCAGCGTGTGCGTTCTTGAGTCGACTCAAAAGTCACCTCGTTAGTTACAATGGCACCATGGCTGTCATTGGAAACACGGCCAGAGGGGGCAACCCACCCGCATCGCACAGGTTCGTGTGCGTGTGTGCGCACGAACCTGTTCGTGCAACCCACCCGCATCACACTGGTGCGTGTGCGTGCACAGCGTGTGTGCACTCTCCCCACTCGCTCTTCCAACCACTACATTGGAGACACTTTTGAGAATTCTTAAATGTGTCTCCCACTCCCTTGAGACCCTTGTGGCACTCATTCTCTCACCCAAGGTTTCCCAGCCCTTCCATGCTCCTCGTACGCTCCCATGCTCCCATACTGCAACTACCACCACTGCCAACCCCTGTGCCGTCGTCCCTTGTCACTGATAGCCATCCCTTTAGTCTCACTCCCTTCCCTCACTCCCCCCCACCCCTCGTTCTTCCACTGAAATTCCACCATCCCATCGTTCCCCCACTGTACTCCCCTTTGCCCCTCCCCACCCCCTTGTTAACCCCATCCCCTCTCACCCCTTCCCGCTCCCTCCTCGTCCTTCCTCCTCTCCCTTCCCGCGCCTCCTCTCCCTCCTACCTCTCCCCTTCCCCCCCCACTGTCCCCCCACTCCACTTCTCCCTCTCCCCGCGCCCCTCATCCCCCTTCCCCCTCCCCTCCCTCCCCCCCAGGTGCATGGCATGCGCATAGCCCTGAGGGGCGAGCACCGGCGGCTGGCGTTCATGCAGATAGACGGAGAGCCGTGGGAGCAGCCGCTCAGTGTGGACAGCCGCAAGCCCACACACGTGGAGATAGTGCCTTGCCCCATCCAGTCCGAAATGGTTGCTCCCCCCTCCTGCCGCCTCTTTGCCGAAGCTGAGGCTGCTGCTGCCTCTGCGCAGTAAGCAATTGGGTCGGTGACTTGGTGGATTCGGCACGTCGTGTGGGAAAAAGGGAGGGGGGAAAGAGGGGGGGAAAGGGGGGGGGGAGTGGGGGGAAAGGGGGGTTACTGACGCATGTATGCAGACATGCCTGCAACATTTGGCACATGGAGGAGGGTTGCTTCTCGGCTGTGGGTGAATCTTGTTTGCATGAGTACTGCTTGTGCCTTCCACGAGCAGCAACAGCAGCAGCGGCGGAGGTGGCAGCAGCAGCAACAGCAGCAACCGTATCAGCGGCGGAGTCGGCAGCAGCAGCAGCAGCAGCAGCATGAACAGTAGCAATGACGGCAGCAGTGCACTAGCATGACTGTGGCTCTCAACACCAATGAGATTGATAATCAGGCATGTAACTTCCAGTCTGGTGTGGTCTCAGGTCTTGTAGGAAAAGCCTGGTAGATGACTGGTTTCAAAGAAGGGATCAGTGGTTTAGAATGTGTGTTCTCTAATGTTATGTATGGTAAGAGCTCCTGCTATGATCAATGATGTAATAAGAGCGTATTCCTATCCTTGTATCAAGAATACCTCATATCAACCTCCCACTGAAAATTCCCCTAAACCCAAAACCTCTCGCTAGTTTTACCAGGCAAAAAGTGCATTCTTGATATGAGGTCCCAATTGACACGAGGATAGGAATACGCGTGCAGTATAGGTAGGCAATGTTGTCAAGACATTAGTGGATAATCTTATGGTATGTGACTGCAAGTTTACATACTGTATCACCCACTTTCCACTATGTGCTAAGCTACAGGTCACCCTAAGTCCTTACAGTGTGCCCCCCAACACAACCAAGCAACCACAGATGTCCTGTGCACATGTGATGTGGAGGATAACTGTTTCCCCATTTCTCATCCTCTTCACCTCACACCAACCACATAGACAGCTGTTTGCTGCACCAGGAGACAGCTGTTTGCTGCACCAGGCCAGCCCACCAATGAGTACATGCTAGCTAACCCAGCAATACCAATACAATACTGATTTGCCACCCTCATCCATCCATCCACCTACACCACATCAACCACAAAACTGCTGACACGGTAATCAATCACCCTCTGATTGCCGTTTCTACCATTTCCCATACGACACACGGCACAGCACAAGCGTGCGAAGGCTAGTCCTTCCGTTACACCACACCGCACCGCACTGTTATGCTCCGGTTTGAGTTCACGCACACATGCACACATGCACAACCACACTGTCTCCCCATGTTTGGGCTTGTAACAGGAAGTTGCCATGCGCTGGCTTGTAACAACACTGTATACCCTGGCTGCAGCTTGTACGGGGCAGCTGACACTGATGTTGCTTGGTGGGGTAGTGGCAGAAACGAGAAGGCTTAAAACGAGCACAGGGCTGGACCAGGTGCAGGAGAGAGGAGGGAGGGAGGGAGGGAGGGAGGAGAGAGAGAGAGAGAGAGAGAGAGAGAGAGAGAGAGAGAGAGAGAGAGAGAGAGAGAGAGAGAGAGAGAGAGAGAGAGAGAGAGAGAGGAGAGAGAGAGAGAGAGAGAGAGAGAGAGAGAAGGAAGGGAGGAGTGCAGGGAGGGTGGGATTGGTGGCTTTTCTTCCGAGGTACCCGCATATCAGGGGTGGTGTTTAAGGCACACATAAGTGCATTCAGGGATGAAACCCAGGCGTGGAGTGGCATAATGCACGGTGGAGTGGTTTTCCGTACGGCCGTTGGTTTAGGGAATAACAAAACTTTAAGCCACGAAGGGGAGGCACCTATCGGTAGGGGCTTGACAAGCCGAGTGCACATGGTGGGAGGATGGCATGAGGGTGGTAGGTGAGGGTGGTACGTGAGGGGGGAATGGGCGGAGGGTGGTGGGAAAATGGGGGGGGGTTGCAAGCTGAGGGTTTCAGGCACTTGAGGCGTCACACAAGTGTGAGGTACAGGGGTGGTGCTGCTGCTTCAGCTGCCGCTACTACTGCTACTGCTGCTGCTGCTGTTGGTCTTGGTTTTGGTGCCACGAGGGTGCATCAGTGGCGGCGTTGAAACAGGCCCAGGCGCTGCTGCGGCCACTACGGTTAGAGCTACTGCTGTGGCTTCTGCTGCGGCCGCTGCTGTTGCTGTGCCCTCGCGTACTGCTCAAATCTTTGCAGGTCACTCCTTAGCGTTGCCTGGCGGTGAGAGAGAGAGTAAGCATGCGACAACAAGCGACAGGGGGAGGAATGACAAAAGGCAGCATGTTTGGCCCAGCATGTTTGGTCGGCATGGTGATGGTGGTTCAGGAAGAGCAGAAGCAGGCATGAAGCGGGTTGGGAGGGTGAGAATGGGAGGTGGATAAGTGGTAAGCACGACCTAGCAAGCAGCTTTTGAGGCGCCTCAAAAGAGGTGGATAAGTGGTAAGCACGACCTAGCAACCAGTAGGAATTTGGTAGGCAGGTCGTAAAACAAAGCTGTGTATTCGAACAAGAAACATGGCAACTGAACAGCCTCCGGTACTCGAAAGCCCTTCCACTTCTCCAACCACTTCACACACACAACCACCCATGGCACCCACTGCCCATTGCTCAGCATGTATTTTGTAGGCGCCTCAACTCATGGTACCCACTGCCACTGCCCAGTGTGCATTCAGCAGAAAGAGCTCCTCGGAAGGCAAGCGCAGGGAGCATGGCATGGCATGTCCTGTCCTGTCGCACCTGGATGAGGGCAGAGAGCGCTCGCTCACTCATGATCCGAGCCAGCGACCGTGGTAGTTGATGCCATATCTGTGCTCATACCCATGCCATGTGGCAATCATGCCATGTGGCAATCATGCCATGTGGCAATCATGCCATGTGACAATCATGCCATGTGGCAATCATGCCATGTGGCAATCATGCCATGTGGCAATCATGCCATGCAACAAGCACACCATGCAGTAACCAGACCATGCATTAGCGATATGCACAAGGGGATGGCAAATAGTGATTCTGGATGATGCGTGTCACAGCGAAGGGTGTGGATGCTGAGCATGCGTATTTGCGATAAGAAATGAGATGAAATGAGATGTGTTCAGATGAAATGAGATGTGATGAGATGATAAGATGAAATGAGATCGGCGGTGCGACCAGCCAGGGTGGGAAATACCAGAGTCTGAAATATGGCATGGCTTGCAAAGTGGTGGAGTGGGGTGTGGAGGGAGGCACATGGTACGTGGGGCATGTGGGGCATGTGGGGCATGTGGAGCATGTGGGTCATGTGGGTCATGTGGGTCATGTGGGGTATGTGGGTCATGTGGGGCATGTGGGGTATGTGGGTCATGTGGGATTGCAAAATGGATGTCACAAGACATTTGAAGTGACAGCTTATGAAAAGAAATCGAATCAAGAATAAGCAACACGGCGAGGGGAGAGGGTAAGGACGAGAGAGAAGAGGCATAAGACAGACAGAGTATGACACTCACAAGAAGCTCCATCTGACTCCCTCTGCTGCTGCTGCTGCTGCTGCTGCTGCTGCTGGCAGGGTTGCTGTTACTCCCTTCACCACTGCTGCTGGGCCCCTCCCCCTCCTGTGCTGAGCTGGCAGCATCTCGGATGGTGACCTGCCCGCGGCACGGAATGCCCTCCACTGTCTGCCACGTCAGCACGCGGTCGGGTGGCGATTCACTTAGCCGCATCACACGGGCCGTCCAGGAGACCTGCGGAGAGGGGAGGGAGAGACGGACAGGGAGGGACAGGAGCAAGGGAGCAAGGGAGCAAGGGAGCAAGGGAAGAATTAGGTTCACTGAGGGAGAGTGGCGGCAGGAGAATGATGCTGTGCTGTGGTCGTAGAGGAGGGGAATGCGACGGACGGGAGGGTGGGAGGGATGAAGAGTGCGACGAAGGAAGGGTGAGAGGGAAGGGGGGGTGGGAGGGAAGGGAGGGTGGGAGGGAAGGGAGGGTGGGAGGGAAGGGAGGGTGAGAGGGAAGGGAGGGTGGGAGGGAAGGGAGGGTGGGAGGGAAGGCCGGAGCAGGCAGGCAGGAAGGCAGGAAGGAGGAGGAGGAGGCGGCACCTCGAAGCCAGTGGTGCAGCAGGTCCATCTGGAGAGCTGAATGCGGTGCTGCAGATCCCCCCCCACCTCTCCTGCTTCCGCTGCTTCCGCTGCTTCCGCTCCTTCCGCTCCTTCTGCTGCTTCTGCTGCTTCCGCTCCTTCCGCTCCTTCTGCTCCTTCCGCAGCTTCTGCTGCGGCTGATGCTGTTCGTGAGGAGAGGAGATCATTGCTGGAGCTGTGCGCTGCTGCTGAGTGCTCCAGGTGACTCGCAGGCAGCAGATCCACCCGTTGAATCCATTTCATCCTGCCATCACGCACGCACCAACCACCGCCCACCGGCCAGGCCAGCCACCAGACCAGGCCACTCAGCATCGCCAGCAAAGGAGTAGAGGAGACACCACCACGCACACACAGCCGCCAGAAGCCCAGGATTTAGAGCACCACCCTTTTCTCCCCTCCCCCCTCCCCCCTCCTCCCTCCCTCCTCCCCTCCGTGTAATTTGCAATTTGCAAAGCACATTCTGAAGAGCATCCATCCTACAGCCGACGGCAGATAGCACAAGAGACACAACAGGAGCACATGCTATGACATACGCACACTCCCCCCCAACACACACACACACACACACACACACACACACCCACACTACCTCCTCTCTTCTCCCTTCCTTCCCATTTCCCCACTTCACGTCACTTCCCCGCCCTGCCCACAACCCCCTGCCCCACACCTCCTCCCTTCCCCCATTCCCCTCGAACCCCCCCATTACCACTTGGGTGCCTGCTCCAGATCCACCCACAACCGCCCCTATGGAGGCGCCTCAAAAGATTCCAACCTCAAAAGAGGCGCCCCCTTCCCCACACCCCCCTCCCCACCCCCCCGCCCTTACCACTTGGGTGCCTGCTCCAGATCCACCCACAGCTGCCACGCCACGTCAGCAGGCACTGATAGGTCCATTTCCACGCGATGGTCAAACTCCATGTCTCCCCAGTCCTCTACTCCACTCCCTCCTCCCTCTCCCTCACCCCCTCCTCCTCTCTTCTCCTTCCCTGCCCCGCTCCCCCCCGCACCCATTCGACCGAGCGCAAACATACGAGATATGCCAGACATCTCTCCCTCGTTCACTCCCTCTGCCGTTTCTTCGACCTCTTCCCACATTCCCATTCCCTCCCCCTTTCCCTCCCCGCTTCCCTCACCCTTCCCCTCATCCTTCCGCTCGCCCTTCCCACCTCCAGCAGCCACCCCCGCCTCGTCCCCCCCACTGCCACTGCTCGCAGCCACAAAAGCCGCGGCCACAGCAGCAGGAGACAACCTCCCTGCCGCCGCTGCTGCCGCTGCTGCTGCTGCTCCTTGTGCTGCTGATGCTGCATCGGTTGCTGCAGCAGCGACGCCACCGGACGCGGCGGCAGCGTGCGCGGCAGCGTGCGCGGCAGCGTGCGGGGAGCGCAGGGGGCGCAGGGCGCGCGGGTGGAAGGCCTTCCGCGCGCCCCCCGCCTGCCGCCGCTGCCCGCCTGTGGCGGACGGGGCATGGCGGTCTGATGTGGGTGTGAGCGGGAGGGGGAGGAGGGGAGGGGGGGGGGGGACGGGGACGGAGGAGGGTGGGCGCGGAGGAGTCTGAAGATGAGAAATTGGGGGGTTGGGGGGGGGAAGGTGTGAAGAAGAGGAAGGGAGGTGCGGTGAGGTGAGGTGAGGTGAGGTCGTGGGAGAAAAGGCTATGAGAGAAACAAGAGAGACGTCTTGTGTGCGGCTATGAAACAGCAGCATTGGGTTTGGAACGGGGCGGGGCGGGGCGGGGCGGCGTGGGGAGGGGAGGGGAGAGAGGGGCTAAGACGACGCAGAAAGAAAAGTGGCATGTGGTAAGAACGACGCAAAAGGACTGGCGCGTGAATCTAACCTAATCGGCGCGGCGGCGCACCTGCAGCGTCCGCCAGTCTCCCAGTGGTCGCCGTCACCCCAGCATGCGCCGCAGCGCCGGTGGGCGCTCGAGCGCCCGACCGAACGTACCGACTCGCTCTCCCCGTTGCCGCGCCCCCGCCGCTCGCATATCCCCCGCGCGCGGGTGCCGGCGCCGCATCGACGCGCCGCCGTGCCGTGTCGAACGGCGGCGCGTCTCTCAGCACGCGAACCGCTCTTCGATGCGGCATAGTCGGCGCGTCGTCGCCGCCGTCTTTACGGTCGCCGTCACCATTGCGATCAACGTCAACTGCACCTTTATCTGCGCTCTCAGCCGCCGCTACTCGCTCTCCTCGCGCCCTAACTGCCGGTACCGCCGCTTCCGCCGCTCCGGCCGCTGCGTCGTTGGCGGAAGCTGCTCCGCCGCCGCGCCTCCGCTGCCTCTGGGCGAGCGGAGATCCCGCGGGTTCGGAAGCGGAGGTAAGGTGGTCGAAACTGCCCGCGCGGACCGACACGACGCGGCGGAAGGAATGGCGCGGGAAAGCGGCTGCGGTAGGCGCGTACTGGTGGGGAAACGGAAGCTGAAGCGGAAGCGGGAGAGGGGAGGGCAGTTGCTGAGGCGCCAGCGGCGCCATTCCCGCTGCAACTGCTGCTGTTGCTGTTGCAGCTGCTGGTGGTGATGGCGGTCGCCCTACTCTCCCTACCACTCTTCTTCCCGCAGAGCCCGCACCAGCTGCTGCTGTTACTGCTGGTGCTGATGGTGATGGTGCTAATGGTGGTGGTTGTGCTGCTAATGGTGGTGCGAGCGGCAAAGGCATCACATGGAGATCAGCAAGAAACGCGCGGGACACTATCTAAATGAAGGACATGCAGTTAAAGGTTTTTGAGGCGCCTCAAGGCTCGGCGCGGAATAAACAAAATACCTTCGAGATCCTTAGGAACATAAGTGCAGGAGGCTAGAAGACTCTGCAATATGGGATGGAAGAGGAAGGCCAGAGGAATATAAAATGGTTGAGAATGGTTTTGGAGCACAGGCCACATGCTGTCTTCGGGCCTGTTCTGTTGCAGAAATAGGGAATGCAATGGAAGACGGCCAAAACGAGTAGGGTAGTGCTTGACACTGTTTAGGGAGGGGAATGGGGGGCGGTTGGGTTCGGTTTGGCAGCTCTCTCCTCGAATGAAGTGGTAACAATCTACGCTGGTTTCGTCAATATCGCCGAAAGGAAGGCACGTGCACGTGCGATCCTGTGATTCCGATTGGTGTGGATATGCTTTGCTGGGCTCGTGAGGATCTTCTTTGACGTGGACGCAAAAGATATTTGCCGAAGGACCAGACGCGTAATAAGAGAAATTCCCTAAAAAATGTGAAATTAAAACGGGGTACAACAAGTCGAGCCTGGCCCGTGTTGTTCGATAGCCTTCGCCATCATGTATGGAAGGAATAGAGCGGACGAGAAGAGGGGTTTGTGAGTTGGGTGGTTTTCAATCTGGGTCCACAGCTCGAATCAAGGGTTGCCCCGAAACCAGGTCTCTAGAAACCAGGGCTTGGATTTTCGGGAGCCTATATATTTCGTATTTGTAGCTGAGTCAGCCTTTGAAATTTCTGGACAAACAGGGAAAATTTCCTGGTAGCAACATGCCTGTTTCGGTTTGGATCAAACAATGCCTGAAACGCGATACCTCATTGAGGCGAACGTGTTGGAGCATTCCAAGCAGAGGTGCAGGGCGGTTTACCACGAATTTGCGTGATACCGTCTGGTTGAGTATGGTTACGACTTCCGTACAATTCAGTCAAAATGCTTTTGATCGTGATGATCGCGTTCAGCGTCAGTTGGGGAGGGACAACAACTAGACCACTGATGCATCTTGTAAGATCGCGTTCAGCCTTCACTGCCTCCACAGGCTGGGAGCTCCAGCCGAGAGCAATGGAGCGTTTTGCTGCGGTGATAACAATGGGGTTATGCGCCACCGTCCCAACTGGCTCTTCGAGTCTTACCATCCGTTTCAACTCACAGGGTTTCCCAGTTTGTCCGCGAGTCACCATCGGTACGCCCAAAATCATCTTATCGTCGCGTGGCCCTCGGTTCTTGTACCGTGAAAAAACAACGCCCCCGCGATCCGGCTCTTGGATTTTTAGGGATTCATTGTACGCTCGTTTCCCGCGGCGCCAGCGTCCCGTGCGGCGCGTAACTTTGTCACCATGACGCTGGGTACGACTCGGCGGAATCCACGGCAGCGCCGCGCTCCGACGCTCGCTGCGTCGCCGTGGCCGCGCGGCGCGGTGGTGGCAGCGGTGGTGGCGGTCGTCGTCACAATGGCGGGCGTCACGGGGGTGGACGGTGTAATTCTGCGGGACTCCCAAGGTGTGCCGCTAACTCGACATGCTGCTGCGGGCTCGCCGTTCCTCTCGCCGTTCCTCTCGCCGTTCCTCTCGCCGTTCCTCTCGCCGTTCTCTCCCCCGTTCCTCTCGCCCTACTTCTCGCCGTGCCTCTCGCCGTGTCGTGGTCCTCACTCTGCCGCCCTCGCCTTTTCCACTTAGTCGAAGAACAGTAGTGATAGTAGTAAAGGCAGTACCAGAAGGAGGGGAGAGGGCACGCCCACTGCCACTCACATGCATGTTCATCTCTCTCCCACGTTCTCCCTCGTTCTCCCACGTTCTCCCTCTTCGTCCCACGCCAACGCGCAGTGCAATTCCTGCGGGACTGCTGGGTTTCATGGAGCAATCCGTCGCAGACGTGGACCGACGACTCCGACTGGGATTGCGACATGCTCGAGTTCATCATCTGCGACCCTAACGGCATGATAGTTTCCTTGTGAGTCTATTCGGCCGTGTGAGTCTATTCGGCCGTGTGAGTCTATTCGGCCGTGTGAGTCTATTCAGCCTTATGAGCCTTGTTAGCCGTGTGAGCCTTGTTAGCCGTGTGAGACTGGTGTGGTTTGAGTCGCCTCAAAACGACTGCGACTGGGGCTGCGACATGCTCCAGTTCATCATCTGCGATGCAACCGGCATGCTCGTTTCCCTGCGAGCCTTTTGGACCTGTTTGGATCTTCCCAGTCTTTTGAGCATTCAGAAATATTTTGTACAAGTACATACATCGTGTCATCGTTACAGCATGATGGTGGTAACGGTGGTGGTGGTGGTGTGGTGGTGATTGCTGCAGGGGCGGTGTGAACAAGCAACTGCCCGGACCTATCCCCGACTCCATCAGCAACCTCGACAAGCTCGAGAGCCTGTACGTCCTGTTTTTTTTTTGAGAATTCTCAAAAAACATACGCTGCTCGAGAGCCTGTACGTCCTGTTTTTCTAGAATTCTCAAAAAACATACGCTGCTCGAGAGCCTGTACGTCCTGCCCATGCATGACCTGCCATGACCTGCCATGACCTACCATGACTTGCGCTTCTAACTTGGACCTTTTCCACTCTTTTCTCTTGTCCTGAATTCTTGCTTCGCTCAACTGTCATTGAGCTTACTCACAAGCTCCCTTGCTTTCAGCTTTTCTTTTTCCTTGCCTCCTCTTCTTCTCGCTTCCCCTCTTTCGTTTCCCCTCTCCCTCATTCGTTCTCCGTCCCCCTTTCTTTCTCCCACACTCTCTTCCTCGTTCCCTCCCCTGCTCACGTTCTTCCTCCCTTTTCGCCCCTCACGACACCCACATCGTCTACTCACTTGTACGCTGCTCACTACTGACCTCCCACGCTTGCCTCTCGCGCCCTTCCTTTCTGCTCCTCTCCCCTGGATCGCTTTCCCCTCCCTTCGCTTCCCCTGCTTCCGGTCCGGGCCACCCGTTTCCTCGTGCTTCCCCTCGTGCCTCCCCTCATCGCATCAGTCAATTGTCACAAAGGGGCATTACCGGCTCGCTGACATCAGGCATAGGAAGCCTTACCGCACTTCAGATTTTGTAAGCACCCGTCTCCCTCTCTCTCAATGCAGTTGTTACCAGTGTTTGAAGTTGAATTGCATGTAGTTACGATTATGGCACACATGCTTGCAGCTTGCGTTGCTTGTGCAGGAAGCTGCACAGCTTGTTTGCTTCTGAGTGGCGTCCCCCTCATTCGTTCCTTTGCGGCTCACTCGAATCAAGCGTGCTGCTCTTGTCTCATCTCGTCTCGTCTCGTCTCGTCTCGTCTCGTCTCGTCTCGTCTCGTCTCGTCTCGTCCTATGCGCTTCTCCCCGCGTGACTCCCCTTGTCGCAACCATCAACGTTACTACAGCTTACAAGCGCCATGTCTGGCAGGGGCCAGGCCAGGCCCATGCCTACAGAATTCGACTTTTGAGTCGTCCACCTCAGAACTTGTCCTTCCTGTGGGCCTTCCTTCCGTTTCTCCCCCTCCTTGACTCGTCTTTCGTGTCATCGCCAGAGACATCAGTTACAACACTGCCATGGCTGGGCCCATTCCAGCTGAAATCGTGAAGCTCACCAGCCTCACCTACCTGTACGTCGTGCTGCTACTTACAGCCTCACCAAGTGATTTTTGAGAATTCTCAAAAACCACTTTTTGATAATTCTCAAATATCACTTGTTGAGAATTCTCAAAAATCACTTTTTGAGAATTCTCAAAAATCGTGAAGCTCACCAGCCTCACCTACCTGTACGCTGTGCTGTTACTTGACAGCCTCACCTACCCGCACCCTTGCTTTTACACTCCAATGGTCCATCCATCCATTTATCCATCCATGTGTGTAGAGAGCAAGAGCTGTCAGTCATTACAGCACCTCCTCTCACACCCTTTTGTAATGGGAGGAACTTGCTGCCAAACACACCTCTCTTCTCTGCCTTACTCCCTTTTGCCCATACCCTCCCCATCACTCCTTGCCTCGCCTCTCCCTGCTGCTCCTCTCTCCACATCGTTCCTCTTCCCCCCACTCCTCTCACTCCCGCCCCGCCCGCATCTCAATCTCTCCTCCCCATCATCCCGTCACGTCCCGCCTCACTCCCATCTCATGCCTTGCCTACCACCAAACTTTCGGCGCCTTACCCACCGTGCGTGCACAGGAACATGAGGGGGTGCAACGCGGATGGCTCCCTCCCTTCAGACTTGGGCGCCATGACCAGTCTTGCCAACCTGTGAGTGCCGTGCACCTGTGCACACACCCACTCACCCACCCCCAACCCACTCCCCCACCCACTCCCCCAACCCACTGACGCATCCACCCACACACACCATTTTCAGGCATCTCAAAGGCCCACTCTCAGCCATGGTGTAGCTTTGCTGCTATCCACCCACCCACCTACCTGGCCCTTTTATCTGCCTATCTACCCACTTATCTAACCCACTTTTTCCACCTACCTACTCACTTCTATCTACCCACGTACGTACCCACTTACCTGCCACCTATCTACCCACTCTTATCTACCCACTCTTATCTACCCACCGACGTACCCACCCACCTACACCTGCCTGCCTCCGTGCCTCCCTCTTGTTTCATTGCTTTAATTCCGCCCTCCAACTCTCTCACCTGCATCCTCCCCATCGCTGCAGGTTTCTGTCACGAAACACCCTCAAGGGGCCCATTCCAGACTCCCTGGGAGACATTGAGGCACTTATGGAACTGTGAGCAACTCAGAATTTGTAACTTGCGCTCTCAGGCTTGCGTTTCCGCGCAGCTAGATAGTGTGCGCTGCATGCTGCTAGGACTCTGGTCGTGGCCAGGTGGGTTGTACTTGCCAGTCATCTTCGCCTCCTGTTGCTTTTCCTTTTTCTCCATCACCCCACCGCTCCACCACTCCATCAATACATGACCCTATCACATCACATCGCATCGCATCGCATCGCATCACATCACATCGCATCACATCACATCACATCACATCGCATCGCATCCCATCCCACCCCATCACATCACATCGCATCACATCGCATCGCATTGCATCCCATTGCATCGCATCACATCACATCACATCGCATCGCATCGCATCGCATCGCATCACATCACATCACATCACATCGCATCGCATCGCATCGCATCACATCACATCACATCACATCACATCGCATCGCATCGCATCACCCCATCCCCCCCCCCAGGGACCTGTCTCACAACCAGCTCTCTGGATCCATCCCTGCAAACCTTGGCTCGTTGTACAATCTGCAAGTTCTGTGAGTGCCTGCATGCATGCATCCCACGCGTCCCTTCCCTCCCTCCCTTCCTTCCAACAAGCGGCTGGTGTGTGGGGAGTGTGGGGTGGGCGGATGAGTGGGTGCACCAGAAGGCACGCCTGCAGTGGCACGCTGGTTAAATAACCGGTTGTCCTCACTCATCCCCACTCGACCTCACTCTCCCCCGCTCGCCCTCACTCTCCCTCACTCGCCCTCACTCTCCCTCACTCTCCCTCACTCGCCCTCAACTGCTCTCCGTTGCCTGACTGCTGTGCTTTGCGGTGGTGTGGTGTGGATGAGTCCATGTGTCACTACACCAAGGCCGCTTTGGATGTCCAACACATTGTCTCCTCTGACTTGCTCTCTCCTCTGACTTGCTCTCTCCTCTCCTTTGCTTCACCTTCCCCCCTCGTCCTGAGTGTCCTGTATCCACCATTCACTCTCGCACCCTCTCCTTCATCCTCTCATATGCCACCTCTCCGTCCTCTATTCTTTCCGCCCTCCTCTCGTCCCCTCTCCCTGGGTTCTATCTTCTCTGTCACCCCACCACCCCACCCACCTCCCCCATCATCCCATTACCCCACCACCCCACCATCCCATACCCCAATATCCACCAGGATATTGTCATACAACTTTCTCTCTGACTCCATCCCTGCAGCCCTTGGCTCGTTGGGAAGTCTGGCTTTCATGTGAGTTTCACCACGCACACATTACTCTCTGTGTTTTCCTGCCAATTATTTTCGCTAATGTTGGGGAGGTTTCAAGCCTAGTGTCCTCACTCTCGTTTCATCTGTGTTGGCGCCCGTTTTGTTTGCGTCTCCTTCCCCTCTCGTGCACACGCACGCACCCACACACTCACACGCACGCACGCGTGCACACACACACACGCACACGCACACACACACACACACACTCACACACACACACACACACACACAACACACACACATACTCACACACACACACTCACACATACTCACACACCACACACCACACACTCACACATACTCACAAACACACACACTCACACATACTCACACACACACACACACATACTCACACGCACACTCACTATCAGGGACCTGCACTCCAACCAACTGTCTGGCGACATCCCTGCAGAGCTAGGCTCCCTTGCCAGTCTCGTATATCTGTAAGCCCCTCTTTCATATCCCCACCCTCAAACTCCCTTCCAGCCCCCCTCATGGCATCTTTCCCTCCCTCCTTCCTACCTACCTACCTGTCTCCATCCCTGCAGAGCCAGCCCTCACCACCTCCTCCCAGCCCAGTCCCTAATCCCTTCAAATAGTTTGTGCTTTATGCCAGAACTGGGTTGGGCAAACCAGCCTGTGACCCTGCTGTTACTTGTCCTGGCCAGTTGGCAGGGTCTTGGTAGTCAGGCTCACCACTGCACCCCTTCTTCTCTCTGTCTGGCAGGCAGCTTAGTCAGAACGAGCTGAGCGGAAGCATCCCAGAGAGCCTCTTCTCACTCGCGAGCCTTGACGTGCTGTAAGAACGTGGGGAGAAGCACGAGAGTCGAGGCATCTCAAGGCTTGATCAACCATCAAACCACAACAATTCTTGTCGGGCCTTAGGCTTCCTCCGGGTTGAATTTACTGGGTTACCTTTTGGATTTCAGTTTTAGGGTTGCGCTTTCAACCTCTTGCTTGCTTGCTGAATGAATGAAAGTGACATGAAAGAGCGTGGCATAAACGAGGTTGCGTACGTGCGGTTGAGGTCTGATCATGCTGTGTGGGTCTTGACCATTCACAAACATGCATGCGTGTGCAGGCTTCTCAACACGAACCAGCTCACGGGCTCAATCCCCTCTGCAATCGGCAACCTTATTGAGGCAACAAGCCTGTGAGTGGTAACAGTTGGTTCTGTACATAGCCCGCTTAGCCTGCGTGCGAGCAGCGATATGTCACCAGGAGGAGGAGTGGAGCCATGGATGGAAACCTTGTCTGTTCTTATCTTACTAGAAGTGCTGAATGGTTACCAGAAGTGCCCGGCACGTCGTGTGAACATTATAATTATGCACACATGACCGACCTACACGACAGTTGCGGCCTGGCTGGTTGGTTGTTTGATTGGTTGGTACTGGCTGCTGCATAATCTCCAAAAGTCTTCACGCAATGCACCCACCACCTTGCGTATCCTTCACCTCCGTCTTTGAAGGGTATCCATCATGCATTTTCATTTCCTCTCCTTGCCATCGTCGTCACCATCACCATCACCATCACCATCACCATCACCATCACCATCACCATCACCATCACCATCACCATCACCATCACCTGCCCATAACCATCACCATCACCATCACCATCACCATCACCATCACCATCACCATCACCATCACCACCATCACCACCACGGTTTCTATCCCTTTGGCCTGCAGGTCACTGGCATCGAACCATCTGTATGGCTCCATTCCCGACAGCGTCACGAACCTAGGCACTCTACTCTCCTTGTAAGTTACACACTCTCTCTCTCTCACCGGTGCTGTCACAGCTGCATGCATGCTTGCACTGTGCACGCACGCAGTCGCTCGAATGATCCTTCTATTGATGTCACTCTCTCGCATGCACTCTCTCGCATGCACTCTCTCGCATGCACTCTCGAGTTTTTTGAAGTCTCAGAAGAACCCTCTTCCATGCACTCTCTTCTATTGATATCCCTCCGTCCTGCATGCTCACTCACTCTTGCGGTGAAGCATTCGTTTCACACACCTGCCTCCTCATGCCCCCAACAACACACACGGCATTCTCCCTTTCTATTACCCCACAACCACCCCACAACTCCTTTCCTGTAAACCAAGTTCCAAAACCCCAACTCCTATCTCAAACCCCTTTGGGGCCAGAACAAGCATGTACCACCCCCTCTCCCTGCCTTCCCTGCTTCCACTTCCACCACCCCTACTCTCTCCCCACAGTGACCTCTCCCACAACTACCTCACAGGCCCCGTACTGAAGCCTGCTGGAGCGTATGCAGACCTATCCAGCAACTACCTCTCAGGCGCTCTCACCACCGAGCAGTCAGACTCGCTGGGAGCCAACTGTCTCACCACTTCACCTGCTGGGGCCACCTGGTTGGCAGAGCAGCGGCCTGAGGCAGCCTGCCGAGCGTTCTGTGGGATTTCCATGCGCACGAATGCTGCTGCGTGTGGTGGCCGTGGGACGTGCTATCCTGATGGGCCTAGCTTGGCTCCGACCTGCTCGTGCGATGCTGGGTTTGTTCAGTTTGCAAGCATCTACTGCCTTGCGGAAGGTGAGAGAGGGGTGCACTCTGCAAGGCTGCATGGAAGCATCTACTGCCTTGCAAAAAGTGAGGGGTGCAAAGCTGTATGGATGGGATGACAACGGCTGTCATATGTTGGTAGGTGTATGTCAACTGTAAAGTGTCTCCACCAGCCCTTAATGCTCCCCTCATCCCAAACTTCCTCCCTCTTTTGAAATCTTGTTTCCCATCCTCCACGCACACACCCATGCAGGCTCGGTGCTAACCTCTCCACTGGACAGGAACATTCTCCTGCCAGGAGCCGTGCTCACTAAGGGGACGAAAAAGGAAGCTACAGGGGCGTTCACAGAAGCACCAGTGACCCTGTTCGTGTTTGAGAAAGGCCGCGAGGACGAAGGGTGCGGGTTCGAGCTGGGCTTTAACGTCAACTTCACCTTCTCCCTCTCGCCCAAAGGCAAGGCCATTTCCAACGGGTTTGCGTTTGTGGTGTCGGCAACAACCACGGTGGGGAGCAGCGATGGCGTGGGGTACGGCGGGATGGACCCCCGCAGCATGGCCATCGAGTTTGACGTGCTTCAGACCAAGGCACTTGGTGACATGAAAGAGCAGCACGTGGGGTTGAACGTCAATGGGAATGAAAAGTCTATCGCGGCTGTGAAGTCCCCGTTCTCGCTGGCCAACAAGCAGGCATACACGGCATGGGTGGACTACCAGCCTGGCGATCCCGGCACCATCCAGGTCTTCCTCGCAAAGGGCGCAGTGACGAGTGCAGGGAAGACGGCAGCGAAGCCAGAGAAGCCAGCGAAGCCGGTGCTGGAGAGGCGGGTGTCGCTGTGTGAGGTGCTGCGGGGAGGCGAGCAGGAGCAGCTGCAGGCGTTCTACTTTGGCTTTGTGGCTTCCACCACTGTGAAACCGTTCATGAGCCAAATCATTCTCACCTCTGCCATGCACGCAGGTAACGAGTCTCTTTTGTACACCCTTTTCTCCCTTCCAACCCTTTTCTCCCTTGCAACCCTTTCTCCCTCGCAACCCTTTCTCCTTTGCAACCCTTTCTCCTTTGCAACCCTTTTTCCCTTGCAACCCTTTCTCCCTTGCAACCCTTTCTCCCTTGCAACCCTTTCTCCCTCGCAACCCTTTCTCCCTTGCAACCCTTTCTCCTTTGCAACCCTTTCTCCCTTGCAACCCTTTCTCCCTTGCAACCCTTTCTCCCTTGCAACCCTTTGATCATCCCGCGCAGACCTTCCACCACCACGGGCACCAGTGGACGTCACTCCAGGCAAGAGCCCTCTCTCTCTCTCTTTCTCCCTTATCCCTGTCCTCTCCTGAGTCCTATCTCCCTAGTCATTGCATGGAGCAAGAACAATCAGTTGCGTGAATCCTTTCGCGTCAATGCTTCGACGCCCTTTGACGTCAATCCTTTGGCGCCAATGCTGAGAAGCCTTTGAGTCGCTGGTTAGCAGCCTGCTTTCAGCTGATAACCCTCTTGCTTCTCCGTGTTGCTCCAATTCACCTCCTGTCAAGCTCTCTCTAACCGCCTTCCTCGTCTTTGCTCAACGCATTGAATCATCTCCTCCCGTCCTCTTTCTCTGCCACCATCTCTTTGTCACTACTCTGTCCAACATACAGCCTTGGGTCTGAATGTCACGGTGGACACATATGCGCCAGTACGGGCGAGTCCGTTCCCGCGCTACGTGAGTGCGGACTACCGGGTGGCGGCCAACAAGCAGGACTCGTGGGTCTTCAGGGACCTCCACTCCTGGGACTCCGTGCCCTTCCTCGGCTGGCCCGTCAAGAACCAGGAAGCATGCCGTGAGTGTCAAATCACCAGGGGGGCTACAAACAATGTGTGTTCAGGCTGACAGTGTTGGTAAAGCTCAACAGCTAACCACTGAGCTAAAAGGGCTTGTTCCATAGGAGGTGAGTCTGCCCAGTACCCTCCCCTCCGGCTATCTCTTCCCATGACCACTTTCGGGGACATTAGGCCGATCTCGATGCTCCTCCAACACCCTCTTTTACCAAGGTAGGCCTAGGACCACATGCACGTTCCATTGTGCACATTGGGATTTGAACCTGGGACCTTTGGTCTGATACCATATTTGTAAAAGAACTTGTTCTAATGCGGGTAAGCGTGCCTATATACCCCAGGCCATCCTTGTCTGTGACCCTTTTCCATTACCTTAGGCTGATCTCAGTGTTCCTCAACAGCCAGTGGTTCCATAAGTGCATTCTTTCGTCTTTATCATCTCCTTTTTTCTTGTACACTTCCTTTATCGTTTGTCCATGCATGGGTTCCTTTGCTTGGGCTCCTTGTTTGGGCTCTTTTGCTTGGGCTTACCATCCACATCTTTCATTTGCTCCCCTTCAGAGGCATGCTGGGCGTATGCAGTGGTGGCGAGCATAGAAGCAGCATACGGCATCGCAACGAATGCAGAGGCGCCACAGCTGTCAGTGGACTCGCTCTTTGCAGCCATGGGGCTCACCTCTCAAGACAAGAAGTGCACCGCTGGGGGCTCACCCACAGACGCCTTTGAGAAGCTGCTCGCCCTGCCCAAAGGGGGACTCACCCTTGCTGACAATCCGGTACGGCGAGCACAGGTAGTGGTGCTTGATGTGTGTAATCCCATGCGTGCGTTCAAGAAACAAACAGTAGGTTGCCCGAGGGTATGATTTGTTTCAATGATGTGTTTATGTGATACGGTGGTTTCCTCTTTGGCTGCAGCTAACATTAGGATTCTCCTGGTGTTTGCATGTCTGTCCCAACTGTCACTCACATCTGTGCTGTGACCTTCAGGGGAAGAAGTACGCTATTCAGGGCTTTGAGCGCACGCGGTTCAAGGGGTATGTGGGGCTCATGCTGGCAGTGCAGCGGCAGCCAGTGGTGGTTCACATCGAAGCCTCTGCTCCCACGTTCACCACTTATGACGGGGTGAGTGCTGGAAGGCCATATTTGAATAACGGGGGGTGACTGTTGGTGAGCGAGTGATGAATGCATGTGATGATGTTAATGCACCCTACGTTGTAAATCCTCACATTCCTGCATCTGCCATGCTTTCCACTTCCACCCCCTTCTCTCTCTCTCACCCCTTTGCCAGACGTTCAAGTACCAGGACCCTGCGTGCTACAGTGGCAACCTGAACCACGTGGTGCTGCTGGTGGGATATTTCATTCTCCGAGACGACGGCAGTCAGAGTCGCATTGCTCCGCCGTTTTGGATCATCCGCAACTCGTGGGGCGAGGGCTGGGGCGACAGGGGCCACATGCGCATGGACATTCAGGGAGGGGATGGCGTGTGTGGCATCAACGTGCTGCCTGGCATCTACCCCATTGTCAAGAGTGAGGCATCTACCCCATTGTCAAGAGTGGGGCGTCTACCCCATTGTCAAGAGTGAGGCATCGTGTTGAGAGTGCAACCCATCCGCCTCCCTTTTCACTTTGAAGTCAGTGCCGCCTTTTATGAAAGAGTGAGCAGCACAAGATTCTCTCTTACTGCTCTGGTGGCCTATTCTCTTCCGCCTATACATGTCCGCCAATTCATATCCGCCTAATCCGTTCAGGAAACTAGATCTCATTTTCAGCCTATTCTCAATTCTTCTCATTCGTCCTTTTTTCCTTGCAGTCCCAGGAGATCCGTGTGGCAGCAAGAGCTACAAGGGCGATGGTGACTTGCAGCCCAGCATGAACCCGTGTGGCCGATTCACATGCAAGGCCAACAGCAAGACCAACAGCAACACATGCGACTGCACGCTCTCTTCTGAGACCAAGCAACCCTTCGTGGAGGTTACTAACGGCTATGGCAATACATGCGCCTATGGTGAGACATGCTCCTATATTAAGACAGACCCATGTCCCCGTGCTTGCAGTAAGCCCACTTCAGCCAACGCAATGCAGTGACTGACATGGTCACGTGCTTTTAGTTAGCCCGGTACTCATCGTTTCTTCTCATCCGCCCCACCACCCATGGCACTGTGGCAGTCGACGTGTGTGGGCTGTACTTGAGGCACTCCTTTAGCCTTCCCCCCGCCCCTCATCCCCCTCTACCACCCACCTTACTCTGCATGGCAGTGGACGTGTGCGTGTCGTATACTTGAAATATCCCATAGCCTTCAGCCCTTCCCCCGTTCGCCACTACCACCCCCTTTTTCCCTGTCACGGCAGTGGACGTGTGTGGGTCGCACTTCAAGAACCCCTGCGTAACTCTGTAACCCTCATTGCCCCACCCCTCGCTGCTACCCTCAGTGGACGTGTGTGGGTCTTACTTCAAGAACCCATGTGCCGTGGGCACATGCATCAACGATGGCAAGGGCTCCTACTCCTGCATCTGCCCTCCCAACCACGTCCCCAGCCGAACCATCGATGACTTTCCCACCTGCGACCCAGGTGAGGTGAAACACTGCTGCTCCCCACCTGCGACCCAGGTGCGTGCGCTCTACTGCTCCTTCCCCACCTGCGCCCCAGGTACGGTCAAACACTCACCCAGGTGAGGTCAACTGCTGCTGCTTCCCCACCTGCGACCCAGGTAAGGATAAACGCTGCTCCCAGGTGCGGCCTTGCCACCCAGATGCCGCCCTCCCTCACCTGCAACCCAAAATGCTGCTTCTTTTTCTTCCTCCTTGGTAGAGCAAGGCCTCATTTCCCAACCAGGCTCGCTCTGGCCTCCTTGATTGATTGCTGCTGTTGCTGCAGGCAGCTATAGCACTGTTGTCCTCTTCTGTTCGTGCCGATCTTGCTGTGCTGTCATGAGAGATTTCAAGTTAAACACCCGCTTCCGACTTCCAGTCTGTCTGCAATACAACGTCCTGTTCATTATGTCCCATCCTGCAGCGGGCTTCGCACTAGTCGCTCGTTACTCGTAACATACGTCCTCTCTGAGTGCTGGCCTCACTCACGACTTGCAGGAAGGATTTGAAACTTGGCAAGAAAAGCATGTGTGCCCTCCTCCACAACCCACCCTACCACTCCCCCCGCTCCTGCTCTCCCCCTTCCCTCCAGCCAACGAAACGGCCACGAGCCTGGTAGTGAGCGGGGACAAGTGGGCGTGCGCGGACGTGTATGGCCTCGTGGGGCTCTCCTCCTCGCAGTTCGCCCAGCAGAACCCGGTGAGGCGACAGTGGCAGGCGTGGGTAGGGCAGCATGCATGGCAGAACCTGGTGAGAGGCGGGGGAGAAATGGATGGATGGATTGCAGTTCGCCCAGCAGAACCCGGTGAGCGGCAGGCTGGCGAGAATGACAGGTGAAGAATGGCAGGCGAGAGTGGCAGGTGCGGGCAGGGCAAAGCAGCACTCATGGGAGAAGCAGGATTAGAACTTTTGCCCATGCTCGAAACTGAGCCACCGTTGCAGTGCGCTGAAGTGCCCATATCCATGTCATGCCCTTGCCCGTGCCTGTGCCCGCGCGTGCCCATGCCCATGCCCATGCCCATGCCCATGCCCATGCCCATGCTTGTGCAGGCTATCAGTTGCTCCCAGCCGTTGCCCAAGGATGCGGTGCTTCACATTGCCGGCACTCCTACCATCCCCTGCACGGGATTCTTCTACACCCTCGATGTGAGCTCCCAGCTCCAATGTTCCTGCCATGCTTGCGCTTCCTCTCGCCTGCACTTGCTAGCGATGTGCAGAAGCTGGTCTCTCCATGGAGCCTCACTGCGTTGTTCTCCTGTTGCTCACATCAGCTGCTCTCATCAGCTGCTCTCATCAGCTGCTCTCATCAGCTGCTCTCATCAGCTGCTCTCATCACCTGCTGACTTCCACTGCTGTTCCTGCTCATGCATCACATGTCATTCGCTTCAATCATCACCATCTCCCTCCACTCACCATTTCCCACCATCTAACACCATCTCCCACCCTATCTCATCTCTCCTCTTTCTGTCTCCCCCTCTCTCTCCTCTCCCTTCAGGGCGACAAGTGTTCGACCGTCGCCTCATCAGTGGGAATCACAAAGAGCGACCTCATGGCTCTCAACCCCGGCCTAGACTGCACGCAGACCATCAAGCCCGGCCGCTCCCTCTGTGTGGAGCGCAACGCCACATACGCTTACAAAGCTCCTGAGTGTGTCAAGTACGCCACACTCACAGCAGAGGACACCTGTGAGCGCCTGCTGAAAGGGTCCGGAAGCGAGAAGGTTGAGCCCTCCTCCTGGGCCGAGCTCTACCGCAACAACCCCGGGCTCGTCTGCTCCAACACCGTCCCTGGCTCTGCTTCGGCTGTTGGCAGCAACATTGGCGTGCAGGTGGGAGGTGGGAGGTCTAGAGGGAGGGGAAGGGGTGGGAGAGGAGCAGGTGGAAAAAGGAAGAGTAGAAACAGGTGGAAGGGAGCGAGGAAGAGGAAGTGGAGCGGCACTGAGCTGAGTGGGTGAGATTTGATACCACATGGGATAAGGTATAGTGCATTAGTATTGCGTGTTGAAATGCCCTCTACGCGGAGCTTAGCAAAACCCTAGCAGGCCGATTGGGCATCAGGCGCATTAACTATCCCCTTGTAGGATAAAGCTTTGCTTTGCTTTACACCATTCCTCCTCAAGACTCTGCTACGACCCTTAACTCGTCTCTTTTCACGCTTGTCTCTCGTCTCTCTGCTACCCCAGGTGTGCCTCAGGGCAGAGTACTGGCCATTTACACTTGGCAAGTGCACCAAGGGCCGGTGCAAGTCGGTGTCGCCATCGCTTACGTGTTCTGGTGCTTATCGCTTCTACGCCAACAATGCTATGAAGCCAGACGACATGTTTGCAGACTACAACGGAAATAAATGTGCCAAAAATGTTGGAGGCAACTACATTTGTGTGCCAAGGCAATAGGCACTGTCATTATATTTAGCTTAGTCTTCTCTTGTACCATATTCTGCACAATTTGACATACGGTACCATGTCTCATAAGCACCCGCAGCAGCTGCAAGGGTGATATAGTGTACTGTGTATTTTGTTCTGTTCCTCGCTGTACGGTGTGTTATTTGGCCGAAGGGCTCAGTTTTGCTTCGATGTGAAAGGGAGTTAGGGCCGTTCCTGGCTCGTGTCAAACTTCCGGTCTTCCGGGGATGACACGAAGCTCGCCCCACAGCTGGCCCCACTTCGGGTCTTCCCGCAAAAATTTGCCCCTGGCTCGGAAAACACGAAGTCGACCGGAAGTACGACACGAGCCAGGAACGCGCCCTCAGAGAGAAATGGTTCGGGGGGAAGGGGTTCAAGCGTAGGTCGAAAGTCCTACATTAATTTCAGGGACATGCATAAACCTGGCTCTTCAGAAGAGCGTCAAAGCCTGCCCATAAGAAATTACGTGCTTGCTTTTGGTGACCCTTTCAATTTTTGCATTACTGGCGAACCTAGCCTAGGAATTTCAGGATAATCAGGGCAAATGCTCTGCAAGCGACACCCCTTCATGCGAGCTTGCCAGTTTTGGGTTGAACCGTCGCCGAGTCGCTTCGGTTTCCTATTGGGTTTGGCCGTTTCGGCGTTCCATTGATGCCAGAATTCTGTCAAGCCTGTCATCCCTGACCTGAGTCCACCAATCCGAGCCAACCACTGTGCGCTCCGCTCTGGCAAGGCGAGCGCGATACGTTGGGCGCGATACCTCTTCGCAGTAGGCTTGTTTGGAAATACTCTTTCCGGCAAGCGTTAGAGGGCGGTTTAACACGCAATTACGTGATACAGTGCGGTGAAACGCGGTACAACGTGAGTCCAACGTTTTCAAGGCCCAAAGCAGAGGTTTTTACTAGTGAATCTGTGGAGTGTGAAACAGTGACGGAGGTATACCTGACGGCACCTGTCCCAGCATGTTGGTCCTGTTCAGCCTTCAGCGGCTCCACGGCCGGCTGGCTTCAAACGTTAGAAGTAGTAGAGCCTTTTGCTGCTACACGCATGATAACAAGGTCATGCGTGACTTGACGTTTTCCGAAGGCAGTCACTGCCTTCCATCTGTTTTAAACTCCCAGAATACCAAAAGCCTCATAGCTTTGTTCCCAATTGCGATCGACTCCGAGTTCTTATCGGTAAGCACAACGATCATCTTATCGTCGCGTATCCTAGGAGAAACAGGGCCCTCGCGATCCGGTTATTAGATTTCCGAGTTTCCGAAACGAGTCGTTGCTCGCTCGTTCCCCGCGGCGCCAGCGTCCGTCACGGCGCTTAACGCGGCGGTATTTCCGTCATCATGACGCTGCGTACCACGCGGCGGACTCCGCGGCAGCGCCGCGCACCGACGCTCGCCGCGGCGCCGTGGCCGCTCGCTGCGGTGGTGGCAACGGTGGTGACAATTGTAACAATGGAGGGCGTCACGGGGGTGGGCGGTGCGATTCTGCAGGACTCCCAAGGTGTGCCGCATCTCGACATGCTGCGGACTCGCTGTGCCTCTCGCCGTGCCTCTCGCCGTGCCTCTCGCCGTGCCTCTCGCCGTGCCTCTCGCCGTGCCTCTCGCCGTGCCTCTCGCCGTGCCTCTCATCGTGCCTCTCGCCGTGCCTCTCTCCGTGCCTCTCGCCGTGCCTCTCATCGTGCCTCTCGCCGTGCCTCTCATCGTGCCTCTCGCCGTGCCTCTCTCCGTGCCTCTCGCCGTGCCTCTAGGCCCGTGTCGTGGCTCTCACTCTAGCTCCCGTGTAGTACCCAGAAGGAGGGGTACCATCGCGGAAAAGGGAAGTGCGAAAAAAAACCTAAAAGTTACTGTTTCGTAAATTTCCAGTTGCATTTCCCGCGCAAGAAAAAAGTTTGACTCGACAACAGTGGTAGCGTCAGTAACTTGCGAAGTGACTTTCCCGTCACATTCCCAACACAAACTGTACACTTCGGTGCAGTTGTGAGGTATACGGTAATGCAACTATGGAGGTGGAAAACGTCACTCTTGGGCAACCCATGCGAAAGTGTCACGACAACGCCACGTGGCATACGATGTACGCCAGATGAAACTGAAACATGTTGACGTGGCAGTTCCTGTAAGCTACCTACAACCGTTGGATCCTGACAATATCAACGCTCTTAATCGTGCCACGTGGACCAATCGGGCACGAAATGGGATGCGCGATTTCGAATTTCATTGGCTGGCGATTTCATGGTTCCGGTTGACGAATCTCCTATATTGGTGTGCGTTTTTGGTAAAAAATAAATAATTTTACTGTAACAAGTTCATCTGACAGGGCATACAAATTATACCAGTATAAGAACGTACAATGTACCCATAATACACTACGCATAATCCATAGCTAAGAAGCCCTGCACACTCTGCCAGGCAGAAAACGAATGTAACCTCGAAGAACGAAGGAAATAGAAACCTCATAAACAAGCAAAACTATATGCTCACCTATGGAGTTCTTACGACTGGAGTATGCAACCCTGCTGAAATATAAAAATACTGCACAAATGGTTCACGGTAAACCTGCAAAACCAGGCACGCTCTGCAACACATGCAAACACAGCGTGCTGTTACGTATCGCGCTGACATTGCTTCAGATGGGTTAGTAATAGCAAATTTTGCTTGACACAAGAATACATACCCTTAGGACAGTCAATCGCAGCGGGACTAAACACCACGATTGCAGCAGACTTAGCTGTCCAGAATAAGAAGGAACGAGCTGGAAACGAGGCATACGAGAAGTTAACGTGAAATGGGGCTGCACAGAGGAGCAATGCGTTAAACCGAAGCGACACGGTAACTGGAAACGGCGAAACGGCGAGCAAGACATATACAGTTATATGTCGCACTAGGAAAAACGTGTACATAAACAAATAGAAACTGCACAATAAAATAAAATAAAGACAGCTTCACGTGCAAGATCAGAACTGTAAACGTACCTGGCGTGTTGCGCAACAATGGCCATCCTTTGCGCGACTCTCATGTACCCCAGCAGCGCGACGTCAATAGTTGGCCGGAGCTGCCGCCTGAAAAGGGAAGGGATGTGAAAAACGGACAGACATGCGTATGGACAATTGAAAAAAAAAAAAAAAGAATTAACGATACTATGTTCGCGCAAGGCAACATAGTCTCGACGTTCTCACACAGTCTGGCTATGGGCTTGAAGGAACTCGGAGTTAAGAAGGGTTGGACGAGGAGTGCGGAGATTACGAAAAGAGTGTGCAGAAGTTGAAGAGACTTGCAGTCCGAAATGTGTGTTCTGTGGGAGTAGGTGATAATAAGTGCGTGAATGCTGGGAATCTGCGTGGTCTGCAACGGGGTGGACGGAACAACTGTATGAGGTGGGCGTTTGATTTGGTTTGGATAGGCTGGGCGTGCTGACGTGTTCAAGATGGCATGTGTTGTTTGACAGTGATTGGTTATAAATGATATTTGGGCTCACACGTCACACCCCTGAAGAACCATCTAGCGTCCGTGGCTTTGTTTGGGTGGTTGGAGTTCAGATCTGAGAAAAAAACGAAAACAATGTATCCAGTTCTGCAACCTCGCTGGATTTCGTGAAGATTCGTGGGGTCGGTTTGTTTCGTAAATTGTGTGGTTACATCCCACTGTCATTTGTTACTCTGCATTACCGCTTGCAAACTCTCTCGAACGCGCAAAACCGATTGACGCGAAACTGTTGACGGGAATGCAACTTTCGGGTGACGGTTTTGTGTCCGTGAAAACATCCGGTACTGGTGTACGGAATGTCGCGTTTCGCGTGCGTTGTTTTTTGGACGCTTCGCGCAGCACAGACGCAGGCTTTTCGTAGAAAAACCTTCGGACCCCTCATGTGCGCTTTCCGTCTCACTCCCTCCCTCCTCCTACTCCCTCCTTCTCCCTCTTCCTCCTTCGTCCTCTTCCCTTCTCCCTCCTCCTCCCCCCTTCTCCTTCCATCTCCCTTCTCCCTCTTTCTCCATCCTCCTCCCTCTCCTCCTCTCCTCCCACTCGAACGACCAGTGCAATTCCTGCGGGACTGCCAGAGCGCGTGGGGCAATCCATCAACGACGTGGCCCGACCACTCCGTCTCCGCCTGGAACTGCGGGGCGCTCGATTTCGTCTCCTGCGATGGAAACGGCATGATTGTTTCCCTGTGAGTCATTTGGCCATTCCCAAAGGTAGTAGTACAAATGCTTCCTGGCATCGGTCGGTATGGCATGAGTGTTGCCGTGTGAGTCAAGCTACCTGATCGGGGCAGCAATGGGTGCGCTCGTTGTTCCTCTCTCGCGTGAAAACCAGATGATAGATGTGAGTGCTGATGGGTGAGGAGTGGGATGGGAGCGCACATGATGCTCGCTCATGAGCCGTCGCGTGAAGACCCACTATTCGTGATGATGATGATGATGATGACGACGATGACGACGACGACGACGCCGCCGCCAGCGGGGGGGGGGGGGGGGGGGGGGGGGGGGCGGCAGCGGGGGCGGTGGTGATGGTGATGGTGATGGTGATGATGATGGTGACGATGATGGTGATGGTGGTAATTGTGATCACAATCCATCCGTGACATGTCTGCAATTAGATCGTGATGAAGCCAGTTAGCATCGAGGCGAGCCATTGTTGGAATTGTTGGCCCAGGCCGCTACAGACAGAAGGTGGATTGGGTGTTGGCCCATGGCCTGAATGGGCATATCTGGGCGGTGGGCGGGCGGCACACACAAACTATGTGGCAGGGGTTGGTTGCAGCCCTGGCTTCCATGCTTAAACAATGTCCGACCAGCAACACGCTTTCAGTGCCATGCCCCACCAGCAACGATGTGGGCACCCGCCGTGCCATGCCATGCCATGCCATGCGATGCGATGATGACGGTGCTCTGCTGTAGTGTGCCGTGGTGATGGGGTGGTGGCGTAACGATGGTGTGGTGTGGTGATGGTTGGTGCTGCAGGGACATTGAGAGCACAGACCTTCCCGGACCTATCCCCAACTCAATCAGCAACCTCAACAAGCTTCAGAGCCTGTACGTGCTGCCCATGACCTGCCATGACGTGCCTGCCTCTAATTTTGAATCTTTTCATGCTTTTTTCTTGTCCTGCCTTCCTGATTTGCTCAACTGCCATTGCACTGCCTTACACTCCCTTGTTGTGCTGCTTGCTGCTATCGTCCCCTTACTTCTTTTTCTCCCTGCCCCTGTTTCTTTCTCCCTTCTGCTCCGCTCATTCCTTTACCCCCCTCTCAGTTGTCCTCTCTCTCATTCTTTCGTTCACCCACACCCTCTTCCTATGTCCCTTGCTCCCCCCCTGCTTCCTTTTCCATCCGCACTGCACCCACATCTGTTATTCCCCTGTATGTTCCCCACCATCAACCTCCGACCTTGCCCCTCACACCCCTCCCTCTCCGCTCCCTTCCCATGGCTTTCCCCTCCCTTCACTTCCCCTTCTCCCGAGCCCCCTCTCACCTCGACCCTTCCGTCCCGTGTTCCTTCCCTCGTGCCGTCCCCCATGCCTTTTTCCATGCCTCCTCGTGTGCTGTGCCTCCCCTCGTCCCGCCAGTGTACTGTCACAGAGGGGCATCACCGGCTCTCTGCCATCGGGCATAGGAAGCACTACCGCGCTTCAGATGTTGTAAGCCTTACGCTTGCTTCTGCAACGCTTTGTTCTTTCTGCTCTGCTCGTGCAGGCTTCGTCTGTATGACGCTGATCAGCTTGCTTCGTCCTTGTGTAGGATGCTGATCGACCGCTTGTTTACAGTTCCTTTGTGTGCGCTTGATTCACTTCGCTTGAATTAAGCGTGCTGCTCTCGTCTTGTATCGGCCCGTCTTGTCTCGACTCATCCTGTGTTCGTTCGTCCTCCCCCGTCTCTTCTCATTATCTCCAGAGACATCAGTTTCAACTCGGGCATGTCGGGCTCCCTGCCCACTCAAATTCTCAACCTCAAAAGCCTCACCTACTTGTACGTTGGTTGTACCACACCACACCACACCACACCACACTCCTGCTTTTACACTCCTTTGCTCCATTCTTCCATCCACCATCCCTCCATCTGTGTACAGAGCGACGGGTGTTTCTACAGCATCACCTGTCACACCCTTCTCTGCTTTAATCCCTTTTGCCCGCACCTCCCCTGTCACTCCCTGCCCCTCCCCTCCTCTTCTCTCTCCATATCTTTTCTTTTCCCCTCTCCCACCTCTCCCTCTTCCCCAACCCCCCACCCCCCCTCCACATCCCCCGTCCCCAACCTCTCCTCCCCGTCGGCCTGTCTCCTCGCGCCAAACCCTTGGCGCCTTACCCACCGTGCGTGCACAGGGACATGAGGGGGTGCAACGTGGATGGCTCCTTGCCTGCAGCCATGGGCTCTATGTCCAGTCTTGTGACCCTGTGAGTGCCATGCCGTGATGCCCTGCACCCACCCACCCACATGATTCCAATGCGTCTCAATACATACCTCTCAGTCGTGGTGTTGCTGCCACCTACCCACCTACCTACCCACTTAACTGCCTTCTCACCTACCTGCCTACCTACCTACCCACCCACCTACCTGCCTACCTACCAACCTATTTACCTACCCACCCACCCACCTGCCTGCTTGATTGGCTGTCTGTCTGCCTATTGACCTACCTGCGTACTCCTATTCTTATGCCTGCCTGCCTGCCTGCCTGCCTGGCTGTCTTTCTGCCTGTCTGTCTGTCTGCTTGCCTGCCTGCGTGCTGCCATGCCTCCTCCTCGCTCACCTGCGCTCCCCATCGCTGCAGGTATCTCTCACGAAACACCCTCAAGGGGCCCATTCCATCGTCCCTGGGAGGCATCGCGCCACTCATTGATCTGTAAGCGACTCAGGAACAATAACTC